GATGTCAACGGGTCGCGTTAATCGCGACTCCGGACGAACCGGGTCCATTTTATTGAATTATATTAATCCATAATAATACGCGCGGGACTGAGTCCGGATTTATCGCGTTGCCCGTTGGCCATTATTCCGCGGAACCAGACCAAGCGTACAATTAGACTATCGAAATGTTCGCGGCAGTTATCGGTTGTTGCCCGATTACATTTTCGAAGAGCCACGATTAACGTTATCGATGTTTGACGTATTGCTCGGAAGGGGATTAACCCTGCTGGTCTACGAGCATTATGCCGCTCTTTCTCCCTCCTTCTCTCTCTCTTTATCCTCTGTGGTCGATCTGATCAGCGTTTAAGATGATTCGATTAAAATATAAGAAACTGCAGATCGTAGTCAAATTATAATATGTTATTCTCTACCATTTTGATACAAACTAGCTGCGAATAGCAACTACGTAAATTTGAGGAACCTGAGGAGTTTGGGTTAATCGAGTTTAGGGTTCCAAAAAAGGTTGCGAGTTTATCCTCGCGACCACTAAATAAATAATAATTATCCCTCTCTACTGGTCCACGTTGCTCGCTTTATGAAAACAACGCGCGCGCTGCATTAATTTGCACGGTGCCTCGCGTACCAGATTATGTGTCCAATTTCTCACGCAATTGACCGTAAATTCCGTTTCTTCGGCACAGCCTGTTCCACTAAATCGACTAGAAATAGTACGGAAATTCATAGACTCCTTTTTACGCAACAACGTCCAACTTTATTAATGTATTCCGAGAGATATGGAATCACGGTACAGGCAATTTCGGCATAACTGCAACGCGTACCGTGCACAGTATGATAATACACAGCGGGACATGGAAGTGCTATCATTAAGTTGGTACTCCGAGAACAAGCAAGGTAGACTGCGATCTCTCGGTTAGGAGAGGCTCTCAAGCCCGAGCCGGGGGGTTGGTCTCAATAATTTCCAGCGGTGCTGTAAAATGGATTCGTCGCTTAACGCTAGGGACGGACGTATAAGTAATTCTGAAGTTCCATTAACGTTAAATCCAGAAGATCTATCGCCGTTGCTATTTTACCGTTCGCGCATTCCCCGGCCGCGATATAATGAATACTTGCAGAAACGAGACAATAGGGTGTAATTTAGTAAACGGGAGCGACGCGACGGTTCGTGTGACGAACACCGCAGCCCCCGGAGACCGTTACAGCCGGGGCTGTACCGACGAAATTGAGACGTATTCCGAATATATTGTAGCCCGCCGCGCCGTCACCGCGGAACGAGCACGTTTTCCACCAAGCGTCTTCCGTTCCGTTCCGGGTATATTCCCAACGGGTTCCAGGCCACTTTGCCCGCCATCGTCTCCGGGGATCGGGGTCAAGAAAATGGAATCATTCCAAATCAGATTGCGGCATACGTCGGGCATTTAAAACGGATTCCATCATCCCAATGGGTTCCTTAGCGGTCGACCGACCACTTTATGAACGGGGTTAAATCACTTCGCCTATCTGATATCGTCGACTAAAAACGTGTATGCATAATTTTATGTTCCATTTGACCCATAAAGTATTTCGACGGTTCCGTAGTTGCGGTACATGCATGTAATAATTCATAAAACTCGGACGCGTAATATACTTTACAAGATCCTCTACGAAACGATATTAAAATTTTTGTAGAGCTGTTTATACCGGCGTCTAACCGGATAGTCGTATCGAGTACGTACGTACGTAAGTACACGTGTAGGTGGAGAGGTCGAAATTGTAGGGGCGAGGTCGATGCGCGCGTTTCGAGTTCGCCGCTTCTTAACAAGCAAACAAAAAAATGAAACGTGGAAACAATGGGTGGGAATGGAAAAAAAAAGTCCAGCGGCAAAAACGCGGAACAGCGGCGGTGGCGGCGGCGGCGGCGGCGTAGGTGGGTGGAGAAAAAGGGTAGAAATGATATCGTCGGGGCGAGAGAGTCGGATACTCCCGGCTCTCTAATACAATTGCTTTTGCAGCAAGTTCCCGGACTATACAAGGTGTTCCGTAACGTTCGGCAAACATGTCGAGGACTGATCCAACGTGCAAAACAAGCTTTAGAAACGACTGACCGTGTTCAGAGGAAGCAAACGCGTTTCACGTACAAAGCGAGCCGTCGCATTGGTCTTGACAATGGAGATTCTCGACGTTTACTTGTTAACCGTTTACGGGACACCCTATACAGGATCCGGCCTTTTCTCCGAGCCACGCAACCGTCGCTCGTTGCTTGCACTATTGCTCGAGGTATCTTGCTTGGGGTGCAGTTACAGTGCACGCTCTAACGGCGTGGCGCGCTCCTTATTAATAGGCGTACTCGGAGAATTGCACGTGCCACCGTGATACCAGCATGCCGAACTAGCGAAGCTACTCTCGGAAGGTTGAACAATGGATCTGAGAGAGAGCCGACAGAGAAGGAGAGATCCAATGACTCTGACCATTATTTATATCACGTTTGAGGAATAGACCAGTAGGTACATTATTTTATCCTATTCCCACCTCGTGAATGTAAAGACTCGATAAATATCTGAACTATTCTAACTTCTTATAACAAGATATTTTATAAGAAAAATTTTATGAACAAACGTAAACTGATATAAAATACTAGATTATAGACTAAATAATATAGAGATAAAATTTTTAGATAAAATATATAAAAGATTATAGATAAAATACTAGAATATAGACTAAATAATATAGAGATGCAATTTCAGTGCTTACTAACCATCTCGAGATGATCTGGCAGATTCAAAGAAGCAGTGATTAAAGAACTGGGTGCTCTCCTTTTTATTTAAGTACTACGTGATTGGGTGTGTTTGTACGACGTACTGATAGAACTCGCATCGCGTCGTTCTACTTGATCTTCAAGGCATGCACGGAAAGGGGATCAGGGCGGAACGAGCCCGGAGAGATATTGCCTTTAGATATTCATTAATCCTTTTCGTCGAGCAATCTCTTTCACCGGGGCGACCCGTAATACGGTTTATCCAGGTAGCAGTCCAATTTATTTGAACAGACGTACAAACCACCGCCTCGTCGGTGGCCGTTACCCGCTGTCCAGAACACCGCCGGCTCTCTCGCAGCGGGTAACTTCTTATTAATAGCCGTGCTTAGAATACCGAAGCTCTCTTGTAGCACCTTGTATTTTGCCGAGGTTAACAATAGATACCAGACGGAGTAGTATATGTAATGAGAGGGCAACGCCGTTACGTTAGGTCTTACGTAACAAAACAGTATATATATCAATGTTTCAGATCTGTACAGCAAAGATACTTTAAGCACGATATTTCAGGTTTATTGCTCTCATTTTTATTAATCCTTACTATATGTACATTTGAAACCTGAAATCTCTGTAAGTATTTTGTGGCTGAGTTTATTTAGTGGCAGAGCTGAGTTTGCAGTTTTAATATCTTCCCCTCAAATGTTAACGTCCTGTTACTATGCTACTTGCAATGAGATTACTGTTGATTTTCTAATACTTTCTACCAACTTTTGACTATATTTAAAATTGCCTACAGGTTTGGTTCTGGTAATTTAGAATGTGGTAGCTGTTTTTTTTTTTTTTTATGGCAACGTCGGCTCCATTTCATTGAATCGTCTCGGATACAATATAATGTATTAAAATTTTAACAATGTTTGAAGCTTTCGAAAAATTCAATTCAAAAGTTATCTCGCTGTTGAAACCGCTGTACGAGTCCGCGGATGCGCCGCCGCCTTAATTGTTGTTAATTAAAACTTAATCGTTAACCAGTGGGAGGGTCGTGTAGTTCGTGGAATATAATCTGCGTTAACGAGAGACTTCATATATTTCGCGGTTGTTGTCTGACGAACAATCGCAGTTTTATAATTGGAGCATCATATTGGCGCGCGCCAGAGTTTTATTAATTTCGCTCAATCATGTCCTCCGATATTTAAAAAATTTTATTTTCTGCAGTTTTAAATTTTCGAAACTGCATGGAGTGTTCTATAATAATGAACGCGAAGCTTTATGAAAGGGATGAATTAATAATAGCACAATGTGTCGTTGGAAGGATTCAATTTCATATCGATACCTTTTTTCATAACTTTTTTCTAAACTACATTTTTTCCTCGATTCGCGAACGACGATTAAACAAGCGGGACACGCCCGTTTCTTTGCGGTTTCAATTAATCGCGCGTAGCGTGTGCTGAACGATTCGGCGCGCAGAGGATTTCGTCATGGGATCGCGTTCGAATTTAACCGGGCATTATTGGAGCGAGCAATTCGATATATCCCTGGAGCGGGTTGTTTTGGTTTCGACGTGCCAGATTGGAACTGATTGACGCTCTGGGATATAGTCGGCCTGACCCAGAGTTAATTACGGATCCTAAGCGGACGGCAAGCTCGCTCTAAGCTGCTACGATCTAGTATACCTCCCTCCCCCTATTATAATTAATTAATTAGTCGTATGATATGTGACTTAATGGATCGCCGAAGATATCCATGCTCGGAAATACCATTCGTATTCGCGACGGTCGAATGGACTTGCATCAATGACTACGTGTAGTCTTAATCAATGCTTACGAAGCATAATCAATGACCATTGATTAACCAACTCAGAGGAAGTTTAATTTTATTAGAAAAATAACCACTGTCTTTTTTTCCTAAATGTTTAGAAGAGAAATGGCATTTTTTGTAGAATTTGATAATGAATTAAATTTTATATTATCACACACGGTCATAGATTTATTGCACACTTTGGTTGCGCTTACCTTGATTACCCCGGGAACAACATTCCTGGATAAATCCATTAGCATATAATGGAACTTAACCGAGGACCCGGTAGCCGAATGATCGTGCGATTGAATCTTGATTAGACTATGTCTGCAAGGCGATCGGATCCCAGCTCGGGTGTCGTGCGTCTTCTAGCCTGTCAAGCTCGGTTCAATAGTAGAGACAAGGGTGTTTGCTCCCTTCGCGACGAATATATGTATGTACGCATGCAAAGGGTTGAATCAGAAGATGAAGGCAGTCGGTAGCTTTGGTGTATTTTTATTAACCGAAAGCCTATGCTATAATAAAGAACGCTATGTGTATACATATCTTCTATCTATATACAATAAATCCATCTTCCACAAACGTCACCATACCTATAGCACACAGTTTGGCAACTCCGAAACCGATTCTCCGTCTACTCTCGTTTTCTTGGCAGGAGTAACGCGTCGCGTATTTTCTTCTTCCCCCTTTTCTTTTTTCTCATCGTATGCCGGACGACATACGCGGATGGTGGCGAATGCACGTGTGAGAAAGATAGAGAGTGCACGGAGAGGGTGTGTGGGAGAGAAAAAGAGAGACAGGAAAATCGCGCGGCTGGGGCTGGGATCCTCCGGCGGTGGTCGCTCAATGGGAGGAATAAAGGAAAACGAACAAACTGGCGATCTTCTAAAAGATCCCGGCTCCTTAATTAGATTTTTTTGTTTAGTGCTGATCATCGGGACTATCGATTAGAGAGTAAGTGTAATATTGCTTGCGCACCACTAGAAGGACGAGGTATCCTCGCCGAATCATACGAACATCATTCCGTTGTTTCTTCTTAAGTCGCAAATGTACTTTGTATACTATTATTTACAAAAAATCATCACGTATCGTACACATAGTATATAATAATACGAGCATCGAAATCACGGGAGTATACTTGTTCATACCATTACTTTTTTGTCTTGGAGGAATGGCGTGGGAGAAAAACACGGCGTTTAAAAAATCAGTCTTCGATAGGAGAGATTCGAACGTTCCAAAAAATGGGGGTCATTTGTATCGTTGTTCAGTTCGCGTGAGTGGTCAGGAGGGTGTTTTACATTTTACTTATCTATGCTTTACCAAAGACGGGCAACAATCGGTCGTCGTAACTTCGCAAGTCTCCCTTCGATCTCCTCCGAACGTTTTGGCACGTGGTCACGGTTCCGCTCAATACTTCCTCAGGTCCGATCACTAGCCTCGTTAAAATCTAAACGCGAGTCAGTTTTGGCACTTCCTTTGCTAATTGAATTCCTATCTCCGGCCGCGTCAAGTCAGAACTCAACGGATTATTCTTCTAAAACTGAGCAACCTGTCCCCACAATCAACAAACTGTTTCTCGCTGAAAACACCGGCACTGCCTCGTCACTAAGTCCAGTCCCTTCGACTAACCGAACAGGCCCACGCAGCTGGGCGAATTCTTCATCTCGATTCCTCGATGGTCGGCCTCTTTGCGAGACTCCTTCGGCTTATGCTACGAGTTCAGCGGTGTGTTGCCGATGTTGCTGATGAAGCTCGGACACGCGTTGTCCGCCCGATCGCCGCTCTGCAACGAGAAGTGCCTGTACGACATGTACGCCTGCGGGTTCGACGACAGCGGCTGGTCTCTCTTCTCGGTGGACCTTTGCTTCTTCATTTTCATGTAACCGAGCACGGAGATCAGAACGATGAACACCACGAAGCCCATGCAACTGCCGACTATCAGGCCCAGTCTTCTTGTCAGTATACTGGCCAGGCCACCTCTGTCGCTCATTGCCCCGTCGCCGACTATCGAATCGGGCGCGTCGAGGGTTCGAACTTCCGTGCACTGACTGGTGAGCGAGGTCACCATCGCCGGACGAGCCGAGCCCTCGATCACGTCGTCGTGGGAGGCGTTCCATTGCCAGGAACCGATGTCCTCCGGGATTGACGTGCCCCAGCTGCCCAGGCCGAGCACGCAGATCAGGTACCGGGTATCCGAAGCTAACTTCGTCAGTCTGACCGAACGTGCCTTAGGGTCCAGAAGCTTTCCTCGCACCTATGACAAGGAATTTAATCGATCCCTTTCAGTAGAGGCGATTGCAAACTTTTATAAACGGAGATGATCTACTGATAATTGATGATGAACGTCGATAAAACGGGAACAACGTATAGGAACGAAGGAATACTGATGATGGCCTGATCGATACAAGCCACAGAATTCAGGCGCAACACGTGCAGGAAACATATCATAGAAATAGATGAAACGTCTGTAGATGACAATATTTCTAAATTTATGGAGTTTGAGATTCAAATACCGTCACACGATTTATCGGGACTTTTATCCAGGAGTAAAATAAAGACGTACGACGCTTCCGGCTGACACTGGCGAATTTACGGAACGATTCACAGAGGAAAACGTACCTCGTCGACGTTATCCAACGCGTGATAGGCCACTTGGTAACCGTGGAGACCGGAATGGTTTCTGCTCTGCCAGGAGACGAGAACGGAGAACGGTTGGATGTCCTGGATCGCGAGCTTCAGGATCAACGGCGCGGAGCAGAACTCGTGCGGATCCAAATCGAGGAAAACCAGACCCTGGAGCTCTGGCGGCTGCTGGCATTTCAACAGACCTTCCTCGACGTCGCCGACTCCCACACCGTTTCGTCCACGACCACGACCGCCGCCCACGCCTCCCACCAGCTTCTGATGGTCCCTCAACCATTCCCACAGCTCTTGTGATTCACAGCCACAGATCAGAGGATTTTCTGTACGTGAAAATGTTCCAGGAAATTAAGGATGTATTGGCTATACAGTCAATCCCAAAAGATTATGTATCTTAGAAAAACGCATTTCCTATAATTAAAAAGAAATCAGACGTCGGAAGAACAATGTTAATAATAAATAGCTACGTGCTAAAAAGTATAGAAGGAAATATCCAATTAATTATCGACGCTGGCTTTTTATACAAAAGTTGTAGGCACTGACAGCCTTTACAAGAAAGATTTTATACATTTGTTTTCACTGTTCGAGTTCGTCAAAATTTGTGACGTGCAAATGATCGTTTCGTGGTTTCGAATTTGTATTGAGGTGAAAAGCATCTACTACAGGAAACCGAATTGCGAGGAAAACTATTGGAAAGCATCGATCCGGGAACAGCACGTGGACACAACGACCGGCTGGTCCACAGTGTGCCCATTAAATTTGGAAATCTTTCGGGGATGGGCAACGGCGGCGGTTGGAGGATTAGGGGTGGCTAGAACGAACATTATACTTCCGTTTGGACTAGTTTGTAGAGAGAGAGAGAGAGAGTAACTTGAGAAGAGAGAATGAGAGGGAACGGCAAAACGTGTTTGATTGTCCCGATGTCGAGTATCGATTTGAGACGATTGTACGTGACCAGCGATATGATAGGATTCCCGAACGCTGCTAGCAGTAACTCTATTTGAATCGATACCCATTCTCGATGCGTATAGAATTATTCTGTCTCTTCCACTCTTCCCTCTCTCTTTCGTTGACTAGCTACTAACACTATTCACCTCGGATGAAAGTTATGCGAACAAATGAAAAATTGATACGTACTACATTCTGTCATAACTCTTTTTCTACTTTTATTGCAGATCGAACTCGTATCTCTCTCAATATCGTTGATCAATTTTTTTCGTATTCCGTTTCACTTTTTATCCGCATCCCGTTATTCAAAAGTAATATTAGAACGTAACGTTCCGTGAAAATTATTAGCTTAAACGGAAATTTATTTTTTCCTGAGAAAAATATGTAACAGAATTTTTATCTAATAATAAATTAAATATAAGTTGCAAGGGCAACGTGTAAGTATCCTCGTTAATAATTCCATTGTTGTCTGCCACGTGCTCGTCATCGAGTGGAAAAAATGAATGAACAATTAAATGTACTGTACCTTCGGCGCGTAAACTCCGTATTTGAGTCTCGAGCGGTCTGAACGCATTCAACGGTAGATTCTCCAGATAATTCCTGCTGAGATCGAGCAACCGGAGCTTTTTCAACGGCCTGAACGCCTCGCTGGAGATGGCGTTGATCCAATTACCATAAAGATGGAGCTCGACGAGGCTGACCAGGTTCTTGAACGTCACCTTGCCCACGATGCTGATCTGATTGTACGAGAGGTCCAATATCTCCAAGGATTTAAGGTCCTTCGGGAATTCGTCCAGCTCCTTGAGGAGGTTGTGGGTCAGATTCAGGACGCGCAGATGCTCCATACCCTGCAGCCTCTCCTTTGGGAGTATGTCCAAGTTGTTCGATCCGAGGTGAAGCGTTAAGAGGTTCGGCAGGTTTCCAAACGCGCCCGGCGACACCCTCGAGATGCTGTTCTGGCTCAAATACAAGTGCAACAGGGCTGGAAACGACTCGAACTCTTGCGACGTCACTATGCTAAGATTCGTGCCGGATATATGCACTTCTTGAAGCACGGGATACTTGGACTCCGATGGAAGAACGTGTATACTGTTCAATGGGTTCCTGGTCAAGTTTAGCCAAGTCAGGCCGGGGAGGTTCTGGCCAGACAGGGCCACGGCCGGAATCTGTCTGAATTTATTCTCTGACAGATCGACTCTCCGTAACATGGACGAGTGAGCGAAGAAATTGGCCGGAAGAGCGTTCAAGTGATTGTGACTGAGATCCACGGAGATCAAACGAGACAGATTAGCAGTGGCGAAGCCGGACATCGTCTCGATCCTATTGTGGCTCAGATCCAACTCCCTCAGATATTTCAAACTGACGAAACTAGCCACGTCCACGTTCGCTATCTCGTTGTACGACAGCGTGAGAATTTCAAGGTTCAGAGCATTCCCCAACGCCGAATACGGAATGTCCTGGAACCGATTCTGATCTAGTTTTATCTCTCTCAGAGATAACAGTCTATCGAAGATGCCTGGAGGAAGGTTTCGTAAGTGGTTCTTGTTCAGGTGCAGCCGCGTCAAGTTCTCATTCCACAAGAATATGACTTCGGGTAATTGACCGATCTGAGCTTTGTCTAAGTACAATTCTTGAACCGACGGGAGACCGTTCAGGCTGCGCTCCGATATCTGACTGAAGTTGTTCCCGGACGCGGACAGAGTTCGGAGTCCTGAAATTTGCAGATTGAACAGCGCGGAAGCTGTGAGAAGATTATCATCCAGGTTCAAATCGGAAAGATTGTTGAGCTCCCTGAAGGCCCCGCTTTCTACCCTCTTGATAGAACAGTTCTTCAGGTTCAACGTTTTGATCGGCAACCCTTCTTGGAAGATAGCGTCGTGAAGGATGGTCAGGTGATTGTTCGCCAAGTCGAGAACCTTCAACTTCTTCAGGGCGGTCAGAGCATACGAGTCCAATCCTGTAAGCCCGTTATCCTGCAGATGCAATTCTTCAAGTTCGTGCAACTCGGAGAAGGTCTTCGCGGTGATATGACTGAGTTTGTTCATGCTCAATTCCAAGAATTTCAGAGCTTGCATCGGTTGAAAGGCGCCGTCCTCTATCCTGGATATAGAATTGTTTGTCAGGTACAGCCTTTCGACTAGCAGCAAGTCCCTGAAGAGAGGCGCCTGAAGGTGCGTCAGTTTGTTGTGACCCAGCCACATGATCCTGACCGATGCTTGACCGCGAAGGGAGTCATTATGCAGCATCGCCAGACCGTTGCTATCCAACTGGATCGAGAGCAACGAACTGCCGCCCGACGACGAATCGGAAGCGGACAATTGGAACACGTCCCCGAGAACCGTGAGCTGATTACCCTGAAGATTAACGTGTTGTAGGCTACTCAACGTCCTCAACGCGCCCGTTTCCATATCCGTGATCGCATTGTTCTGCAGGTGAAGCTCTTGCAACGACGATAACGGTGAGAAAACGCCTCGTTTTACTTCGGTGATGTTGTTGTCTTGCAATCGCAGCTCCCTGAGTTGATGCAATTTAAGAAAAGTGCCCGGTAGCAGCTCGTGTATCTTGTTCCCATCGAGAGATAACAAAGACAGATTCCCGCAATGCTCGAGAAATTCCCGCGGCACCTTCTCGATGTAATTGTTGCTCAGATGCAATTGGGCCAATTGCGTCAGGCTGGTTAGACCCCTGCCGTCGATTCTTCTGATCGCATTCTGCTGCAAATAGATCACGGCGAGGCTCACGCTGCCTATGAACGCGTCCCCGGGGATCTCGAGGATATTGTTCTCCGCCAAGTAAAGTTCCCGTAATTCCGGTAACCTCGCGAACACCCCGCCGATGTAATGAATGTGATTATGGCTCAGCTCGATGTTACGGAGCCTCTCGTTCCCCTTGAACGTCGCCACGTCGAGGAATACGATCTTGTTGTTGCTCAAATCGATCGACTCGAGCTCCTTCAACGACACGAACGCGTCCTTATGGATCGTCTCTATCGAATTGTAATAAAGGGACAGGGTGTGCAAAATCGGGCAAGGCCGGAAGCAGTCCTCCGGCAATTTCTCGAAGTTGTTACTGCTCAAATCCAGGATCAGCAACGATCTCAACAGGCTGTAACCGTCGTTGGGAAACTCGGATATCTCGTTCCAGGCGAGTCGCAACGAGGCGAGGCTTTCTAATCTTCTGAGCGGCGCCATAGGAAACAGCTTCAGTTTGTTCTCCGTTAAGTCTAGGTCGCTGAGACTATCTTCTAAACCTGCGAACGCGTACTCCGAGATCTTCGATATCTGATTGCCCTTCAGGGTGAGCTTGATAAGTTTCAATCCGTAGAAGCAGTAAGACGGTAGGTCTTGTATCAAGTTCGCCTCGAGATCCAGCGCGGCGAGTTTGTGCAAATCGGCTAACGACTTCTGAGGCACGTGAGTCAACCGACTGGACACGAGAGCCAGGGATTCCAGGCTGTCTTTCAGATTCGCGAAAGCGTTCTCGGTGATCTCGCGAAGGGACGAATGGGATATTTGGAGGTGCCTGATTTGCGAGCCGGCAGGAAAGCAGCCGTCTTTCAACTCCTCGACGCTTTTGTCCAGCTCGTAGACGCTCAACGACTGCACCATCGTGCCCACTCCTGGAAGCGGTCATAAAAGGGGCACGGTCATTAATTTCATTAAGTCACGACGACGAGAAGTTTAGATTCCGCTGCACCGAGTTTTCGTCCTGAAGTTTACAGGCGGAATAAAAAGATCCCTAAGGACGTTCTTGCTACTTTGTAAGTCTCTTTCATTAGTGAATATACGAGTAAAATATCAAACTGTACATCTAAGAGAATATTTGTATATTCAAATATAAGGATCATTGTATCGATTGCATTGAGTATTCAACAACCGCTTGTTGAATCAAATTAATTACGAATAATTCCGTAATGATTGTAATTAAGCATATCATACGTTCCAAAATCAATACGAAAGAGAATATTTAAATCGTATGCTGAGGAAGAGCCACAGATTTTTTGTCCGGATAAACTCGCCTTAAGGTTTCGGTCGGGCACTCACCGGTCGCACTTAGGACGCCTTGCAAAGTGCTCTTGAGAGTCTCTTCGGCGGCGCCGGGGCATTCCAAGAAGAGACCGTCCTCGAAATTGTAACAGGGACAGCCGAGAATGGTTTCCGGCGGCGGGCAATCAGCTACCTGTCCAAGAGAACCCGTCCACGCGAAATTCTGAATCACCAGGAGCTGCAGGATCCTGACTGCGCGTCGCATGACGATGCTGCTAAACAGTCCTCTCCGCTGCGTCGACGACTGTGCATCTGAAACAATAAAGAAAAGCTTTTATTAAATCGGTTTCTGGATTGGGTAAGAACAATATCAAAGTAGACTGTTTGTTATTTGAGACAAAATCGTTCGAAGAGTACTTCGGAATATTAATTGTTTTTAAAAGGAAACCATTGAAAGAGTCTTTATTTCATCAATTATCGCGATCGATGCAGCGTTCTGCACGATAATGAATCGAGGCTGCTGGCAAAAGAGTGCCTACTGTCTACTATCTCTTTCACTATTCTTTTTTCACCCGCCTCCCTTCTTTCTCTTGTCCGTCTTCGATATCGTCGTCGGTCTGGAAAATATTAAGAAGAGAAGCCGAAGGAGGAGAGTGGGAGCAGAAGGAAGTGCCATTACGATATCTTCTGTTCTCTATTTTAATTATAACGACCATGAATTCCTTCGCGCAACATGGCTCCAATTTAATAATCTTCTTGTTAGCTTAATGATAACGTCACTCGAAATACTCGGAAATTGCATATTTCGCTCGCATCCATCCCTCTTATTTATTTCGCTGTCAACAGTTTTCGATCGAATTTTCAGAAAGTAATTTGCCAGCTTTTAACGCGGACTGCGTTAGCCCATTAGCGAGTATACATATTCTATCGCAATCTGAAAACGCATTGGCTGCAGGGTAAAAGTTTTGCGCGGTGGAGACAAAGCACGTTTCGCGTCGTCGAGGGTGGGAGAAAAGAAAGGTGAATCAAAAACCGGATAATTATAACGAAACAGAGTCCGACGCTTTTTAACCCGTGCAGCACGTCGCTTTGCAGCCACTACTAATTAAATGCTAATTAGCTAATGCAGGGTGCTACGCGGGCTGGATGGGAGGGGACGGGTGGACGAAGAGGGAGAGAGCGAGCGCCGCGCACGGATTGTCTTAACACGCGTTTCCGCTTGGAGCGCGGTGAGCTTGGGCGACAATCCATTGTTAATAATTTTGCAAGGAAACATCCTATCAAGAGGACCGGTTAAATAAGTCACCCGCGGCGTATGTTGTCGATAACTCCTAACGAGTTCCCGTCTGTACCGCGTCCGGCTATGTATACCGGAAACGCACGATTCTCTGCGCATTCCTCGCCCCCCTTTTCTTCTGCGCCCTTCGGCTCCGACGTATTTCCCGCACGTCCGCAGAAGTTCTTAACTCGAAAAACATACTCCGTTACTTTTTCCCAATTAATTTTCTTCAAACTTATACCCAACGCGTGCCCTGACGTCTCGCGCGGTTATCGTTCATCGTTTATCATTTCTCGCTCGTCGATCAGACCCGCGCCGTGCACCTACACGCGCGGAACACGAAGTTACTACTAGCCCCGGCGTTACTTCCGGCGAAATAATTTCTGCTTTTCGCGGACGGTTTGCCCGTTATAGATGGTGGTCCGGTTGGTTGTTAATGTATCGCATAAATACCGATCTTCCGGCGTGCCGCGCAGTGGCACCCGGGATACAACCGAGTTTCCGTGCGAGACACATTCTGAATGCGGCGATTTCCTGCAATAACAATCGCGGAATTACGTATGCCGGCTGCGTGGCTACGTAGTCCGGCCAGGTCTCGTTCCGTCGCATCTGCTGCGGAGGCTAAGCCGGCATGGATCATCTCTCAGTGACCCGCAAATGAACGACAGATACGCGATGTACTTGCAAAAACGTCGATTAAATATACAGTGGCTTGTTTTCTACCTTATCGTTCATTTACTACTATGAATCACGGGATGTACGATTGTGGTAGTGACTTATATGTACGTATAAAATGTCGGTCATTAACATGGGGTTGATACGATTTTACGTTTAGTGCAAAGCCTCCGTTATGTAGAAACTTGGTAATTAGTAATGTAGCTCGTAAACCGCGGCTAAGTTTAAAGTTTAAGGTGGCAGTGAGTTAGCTTGTCATCCGGTAACTAGAGCGAGTTTACGTCTTAAAACTGTGGTCGTCGAGTTTATCCTATCGGCTGGCAAGTTTAAACGGCATTTTAGATTGTTCAGAAAATGCTTCGTTCATACGAAACGCATCAGAATTATCTTTGTGATTCTCGTTGGTGGAAGTTTTGGAGATATAGCTTTTGACTTTTTTTTTGCGAAGTCAGGGCGAACCACGTTCGCAACTTTTAACGAAAGAAGCATAATTTACGGACAGAAAACAGGCCGCAGTCGAGGAGTAGAGGGAGAGAGGTGGCCCTGCCTCTTTTTTCACGAACTCCGAGCGTCGAGTTTTCGACACGGGGACGCTAACCCCTAACCACTCCACGGGGGTAAATGGCCTACCCATGTTCCGCGGTTGCGAAATACAAAAAGCGCGGGAAACCTCGTGCGGGTGTTGCAGCTGCATAAAAACTGGGAACCGCTTATTTCGCGGTTTGCCGAGTGGTTAGACGACCACCTAATTCCTTTCGCTGCAGTTCAATTCACGGATGCCAGTTACTATCTGCAGTAATCGACAATGCAATTAAGTAATCTAATTCTTTGAATAAACAAAAGTATTTTGTTTCAAAAACTTCCGAACGGATTTAACAAGCAAAAATCATAGCAGCTGATTTAGTAAAGGGAGTCTAAGGAAACCTTTGGTTTGACACCTGGGAGCTTTCTGGGGTCTCGGGATATTTCAGAAATTCGTGCTTGGATTTTTCAGTCCTCCGACGGGTCGAACACCGGCCGAATTTCTGATCCGTAACACCTGGGGGCGGCAGAAAACCGATGATCGATGCATCGGAACGAATCGGATCAGAACTCGATCCCCGAGCACTTGGTTCCCTGTTGATGGAAGACAGAGCCGAGTCGGGTGATCGTTCATGTCAGTGGACACCTATTAATGGCGGACACGTTACCTCCATTTCCGGTGCCTGTAATAACGTCGCGGAATTCTCCTCTCGGTTATATTACCTCGCGGTTGTTTCGCGAAGCGAAGTTTCCGCAGGAGGGCACAGAAGATCCGCCGTCACGCTCGTAACGCCATAGAACGAGCTTTTTGCGTAGGCCATGGATTCGACGAGCTCTCGCAGTGTCGTGGTGACCCTGTTCTGCGATCACCTACCGTATCAAGGAAAACTCGGTACAAAGAATAACTGTTGTGGCAGTTTTTGTACCTTTTTTTACGGGCAACTTGTACCGCTCTCGGAAAAGTGGAGCCAGGTGTTTGTTACTTCTTCAGAGATCGTCGTTTGTTCGCGAAATGAGAAACAGGAGATGTAACTAGGGAAACTTTCATGAGGTTTCTTTGAAAATTTTATTCCTCTGTCAAACTTTGTTTTATAATAATAATTATTGCGGAATGTGTTTGTCGTATGTCGAACGTAATATGAAAATGAAACATGGAATTGCGTTTTGTATTCGCATAAATGTTTATTCCGAGCAATATGATCAGAAATTGGTCGAATTCAATCCTCGAAAGTAATGACGCGATTTGTATAGTCGCGGCCCACTGAAATTCAGATTCCGTTTCCGCGTTTTTCCGAAGTAAACCGCGATAAAATAGCAGAAACTTTCGGTAGCCATGAATCCGTAAAAACGCGGAAGTTGAATCGCGGCTGTTCGTTCGACCAGCTCTCACAAACAAGCGACTTCGACCGAGCGAGATAAAAAGCCGGTACCCGTTTTTCACGAGACGTCTTCGTCGCGCGTTTGGATTCACAAGCGCGTCCGGCTCGTCTTCCCCTTGTCGTCGCGCCATCCCCGCGTCGGTTTCTCCTTTCTCTTTTTGCCGGTCGCCGTTCATAGCCCTCATTCGCGAGGTTGATTGCGGGACGTACAAAACAAATATGAGATATAAAAGTATTGTCCCCGCGACGCGGTATTGTTTCGACGGGACGTGACGCGACACGGTGAAAGCGGAACGAACCGAATTGTTCGAACCTTCGCTTCGGACGAAAAAAAATAACTACCCTCAGACCAACAGTATTCGGTATTGATGCGTCACGTAACGTTCTGACGCTAAAGCAACTTCGGAAACGCTTTCAGCTGTTTAAATATTTGCCCGCAACGGCGACGGTGACGACGTTTGTCGTCTCTCTGTATTCCTCGTTGACGCCGCGCGAAAAGCATGCTTCGACACGTGGTGTGCCGCCGTTATTCATTAAAATAATCTGATTCAGTCTCCGAGTCGTATTAAGCATCGTATTTTTAAGTTACACATTCAACCAACTGAATATCCATCTTATTAAAGAAAATTTGCGATTAAATGAAGTATGAATAAGACAAATAAATCCTTCAATTAATACATTTATTTTTTCCAAGAATTACCGTAAATTATTAAAATCAACAAGGTATCTATTCATGATCGTAAGAGTTTACGGAATGATCGACACGGAAGTCGAGGGACGGTTAAGAAAACGATCGCTCTAGGGAACCTGGGTAGCCAATCGTATATACGAAGATTAATGTTTAAATTGAAAACGTTTCCCGAATCCTCGAGTGGGATCTAGCTTTAATCGGCCGGCGGTCGAAATAGCCGGGAGTTACACACAGCGGGAACGATGGACCTGATGGGTAAACAGAAAATCATCCGATCGACGTTTACCCAGCCTCGGATCGGTCCTCCTACGTTCTCGATTCTATGCGTGACGGTACGTGCGCTCGGTGCGACGATCGTTTGCCGGCTAACCTGTTCTCTATGGGGAAACCCTCCTTGAAGGTTGAAACGCTTTTAAGCCGACGCTTTCTCTGATACGTGTTTTGGTTCGGAAATGATTCGTGCTTTGAAACAGGATAAGACATCGAATAATCATTTGGCATGAAGTACAGCATGAAATTGAAAAATTTACGATAAACACATGAAATCGTTGAAATGTAATTATTTCTGTCATACGGATTGAAAGGTGTTTATCAATCCAATTTGTATCGCATGTCGTAACGCGAATCGCGCACACGAAGGGTGTTGTTCGAATGTAATCGAAGAGGATTTAATTGCGCTGATTAATAATTAAATAGCGGCTTATTTGTCAAACACTCGGAAGCGGCAATTAAATTCGCGTCGGCCGGATCGGACAATGGTGATCGG